GTGTGTGAACCAAGTTAGATAGGGAGAGGGAGAGAGAGAGGATAGGGGCAGACAAGCCATATTAGCCGCTATCTGGTTGAGATCCGTTGTGTGTGTGCAGAGTCGCTAGAGACTGACATTCTTGTATATTGACAATAATATTGGAGACGACATCTTCAAGTGTTGACTGTATCTCGATTTGGCTTATCACGTGTGAGCTCTCATGTGAATGTTCATTGGTGTATGCGAGGGTGAACTTAATGAGTACTTGGCTCATTTCAATAAAAGTGAACCATAGTTATTTACTGTCTGGCAGCACTAGCCATTTGAAATTCCGTCTGGGTTGGTGGAGGCAGCGGTGGGGCAGGAGACGAGGGAGAGAGGGGAATTTCTATATCCTTTGTTTGTATTTGGTGGGACTTTTCCTGATTCTTTCTGGAGTTTTCAAAACAAGCACCCTTGTTATTCCTGGTAGTTTGAAGAATCTCTTGGGACTCTGCGGAGCTGCTGGTGGTTTGTACGAAGCTGCACTGGAATTAGACTGTTATATTCAGGATCCGTGGTTGTTCAATGCCAGAACGACGTTGGTTGGAGCCGGGGTGATGCTGTTGCATACCGTAATGGTGCAGACCAGAACAAGAACCGACCTCTCTCACAAAGTACACGATAGCGTAGCGGAAGACTTAGATACCAATGATCCGAACAATCAAGGTTGCAATACAGCCCGAAACATACATCATCATCATTCCATGGTGTGAAGGGGTCTGGTGCTCACACAGGAAGAATGCGCCAGTCCCCAACCATACACAGACGAAGAAGAGGGGAAGATGGGAATGTCGTCAACACCAAGTCTTCTGCACAGGCCCCAAATAATCCCTCGTCAAATGTCTGAATCCCCAATGTCGAGTCTGAATCCAATGTCGTCAAGTCCCAAAGTCACAACTCTCTCTCTTTCTCTCTCTCGTAGTCCGCAGGTACTTAGAGATGGTGAACTTAGGAGAGGAAGAAGAAGAACTCTCTCTCTCTCTCTCTCTCTCTCTCTCTCTCTCTCTCTCTCTCTCTC